TTTTTTTTTATCCTTGCCATGCATCATAAAAGACACAAGGAATGAAGAAATAATAAAATACACACAAATATAAATTACAACGATAATTATGCATTTGACATGCTACACATAATTAATTATGGATAACAGAGACAAATATTTAGTTTTTTGATGCGTGGGTAAGATGTATGTATGTATGTGTGCATGTATATACATGCCATATTACCCGTGTAAATGCTTGTTTGGTACATGCACGTTAAATGTAATTGCAGTATATTTTACAGGTGTACGCCTACCGACGGAACGACAAGTATACTATGTGTAATATTCAGAAACTAAAGTGAGAGACTTCAATCAAAAGCACATATATGGTACCTTTCACTTTAAGGAGGTTCGGTAGTGTTAGCGGGGGGAAATCTCAGAGAGGCAAGGGGAGGGAGAGCGTCTGGCAACGTTGTGAATTTTTTTGGCTGCTGGCACGTCGTCTACTGTTGTTGTCGTCTACTGCTGTTGTCGTCGTCTACTGATAACAGTGTACTTATTTCTTCGGTTGAATTTTTTATAATTAAATTTTCAATTACAAAAGGAGTTTTTACTATTCATTACATTTCAAAGCACGCTCCAAAAGCAGCGTTGCCAAGTCGTCTGCTGCGAGCACATTTTTGCTGTTTTTTAATAGAAATTTGTGGTAGGGCTCTCTCAAACTTTGACAAAATATTATTTTGACAATATTCTTTCATTTAAAAAAAAAAAAAAGCAAGTTCATTTAGCCGTTTTTTTTTTATGTGAAATTTAAGTGATTTCTCCATAAGCCTACATGTTAAAATATTGTTTTTTCAGGTCAATATATCTTGAAAACGGTGTGGTTAAACCCTTCAAAAATTTAGCTGTAATTTGATACTATTATCCCAAACGACATATCGAAATTTCAAAAATTTTCATCATAAAAAATTATCACTACCGAACCTCTTTAAGCTAGAAGGAGAGTATACGATGCAGGGATTAATAACATAGCATGGTTGGCTATAGATCTAAATTGCTATGTGAGCATCATCAGTCGCACGGTGTATAATTGGAGGCTCTGTCTGCACAGAGAAAGTATCTAACATACTTATAACATGACACTTTTTCCTGTTTAGATTAGGAGGGAGCACGATGATTGCCGCTTTAATACTGTATGAGTAATTTTTATATATTTTTGTGGTTGTGAGTTATCTTCTGCCTATGCGCTTATACGTTCTTGAAGGTTTTTCAAGAACCCTTTTCCGTAAAAATGAACAATTCATCAAATCGTGTGTTTAATTGAATTTTAAAATTATTGCACTTTTGCTGAACGTTAATTTATAAATGTTAAAAATTGTTTTTTTTTTAAGCGTTCAAACTACTTGTGTTTCGTATTCGTTGTTTTCTGTTAAATTAGTGTTTGGTTGATTTTTTAAAAAGGATGAGATTAATTAAGTCATCTTCTAATTCTATAGCATTAATATAATATAATAAGATGGCTTGTCGTTTTTTATAATACTTTCGACTGAACAGACCGTCATCTTTGATAGGAAAATTGTTAGGGATAAGACTGTAAGTTTTCCTTGTATAGTTGTATGGATTGTTCCTTCAGTAAGAATTGGGTGAGGTGTTATTTTTGTTGGATAAATAATTTTACTAGTTGTTACACGTAAATATGGGTGCAATTGGTCTAATTGAATCAAGTTTGTGCTAGCGCTTTTATCGAGCATAAGTGTGTTAAAGCGATTTCTTCCTTGTGGGACAGACAACCTTACGCTTGTAGTCTCATTGTCTACGCCAAGTTCCTAGCAAGTACCGATGTGGATGGTTTCGATTTTGTTGTTAAGTTCATTACTTGTGCCGAAACATTTAGTGTAGAGGTTGAATTTTATCTGTGGGGGCTCACCTACCAACTATGATTGAAGTGAGTCACCTGGGAGTTTGAACGATGTGGCAAACGGTCATCTACTAATTAGTACTAATTCTGATTTTGATAACTCCGTTTGAAACTGTATTGGGTATAACTATTACAATTGTTATTTTGGAAGTATCTAGTATAATTCTGACTTCTGCTTAAATGTTCTTGATTATTTCTAGGATTATACTTAGCATTTTTTTGACTAATAATCGTTAGAATTTTCGCTATCATATCGTCCAAAATTATTTTCATAATAATTAAAGTTTCTTGACAAATTCCGAAAATTTTGATCTTTACCCTGTATTAGATTATTTGCGCAGTAATTCTGTTCATTAGAATATTATTTAAATTGTCTATTATTATTTTGATAATTATCATACTTTCTATTAGCATTGTGATTTTGATTTTTAATTTGGTGTTCATAAACTTGTCCTATTTAAGGTGATGAGAATGGCTGATGAGGATACCTACTCTGCTGTAAATATGAGTTATTTGAATTATTTCTTAAATGACAGTAAGGTAATTCTTGGTATTCTGAATCCGGGATCATATTCCCTTTTATTTGGCTCTGCCATTTCATTGCATAATCGAAGCCGTTGGCTAGCGAAACAGGTTCTTTCACATCTATTTACTGGCTTATTATAGATGCTAGTCTCTTTATATGGTCTCTTTTGGGGTCATCATATGCGCGTTGTATATATTGCCCTTATCTTCCTTAAAAGTCTTTTTAGCACCGCTCAGCAGTAGGTTTACATAATCACAATATTCGCCAACCGATTGGCCTTGTCGTTGACATAGTTTCTGTAGCTGAGTTTGATAGTAAGCAACGGTTTTCCTGTCACATTTTTTTTTTTGAAATGTTTTATAAATATCTCGAGATTTTCGAGGTCTTGGCCACTTACGCAGATTTTGTAACACTACCCTTTTATATAGATCTTTTTTGTCGTATTTAACGTAACTTTTTCCGTTGCTAACATCTTGAATATAGTCCTTAAGCGGAATATTTTTCCTATCAAATGTAGGAATTAATTTCATTGCATGTCAAAACAAGAAATTGGCGTTAAGGGACTCTATTCAGCGCTTCAGCTACTATCATATTGGCATCAAATGGATTATCATTTTGGTTGACCATTTTCACCGTCATATTATTATCTTTGTTGTATAATTTACTCTGTGTGCGTATTTTTTTCTTTTTCTACGTATTTAATTTCATACTGTATTCCATCTTATTTTACTTTTTTTATTGAGATTTAATCACGGTCGTGAGAAAAAATTTATTATCATATTTTTATTTCATTTTGTTTATTTATTTCACAAAAAATTTTTTTTTATCCTTGCCATGCATCATAAAAGACACAAGGAATGAAGAAATAATAAAATACACACAAATATAAATTACAACGATAATTATGCATTTGACATGCTACACATAATTAATTATGGATAACAGAGACAAATATTTAGTTTTTTGATGCGTGGGTAAGATGTATGTATGTATGTGTGCATGTATATACATGCCATATTACCCGTGTAAATGCTTGTTTGGTACATGCACGTTAAATGTAATTGCAGTATATTTTACAGGTGTACGCCTACCGACGGAACGACAAGTATACTATGTGTAATATTCAGAAACTAAAGTGAGAGACTTCAATCAAAAGCACATATATGGTACCTTTCACTTTAAGGAGGTTCGGTAGTGTTAGCGGGGGGAAATCTCAGAGAGGCAAGGGGAGGGAGAGCGTCTGGCAACGTTGTGAATTTTTTTGGCTGCTGGCACGTCGTCTACTGTTGTTGTCGTCTACTGCTGTTGTCGTCGTCTACTGATAACAGTGTACTTATTTCTTCGGTTGAATTTTTTATAATTAAATTTTCAATTACAAAAGGAGTTTTTACTATTCATTACATTTCAAAGCGCGCTCCAAAAGCAGCGTTGCCAAGTCGTCTGCTGCGAGCACATTTTTGCTGTTTTTTAATAGAAATTTGTGGTAGGGCTCTCTCAAACTTTGACAAAATATTATTTTGACAATATTCTTTCATTTAAAAAAAAAAAAAAGCAAGTTCATTTAGCCGTTTTTTTTTTATGTGAAATTTAAGTGATTTCTCCATAAGCCTACATGTTAAAATATTGTTTTTTCAGGTCAATATATCTTGAAAACGGTGTGGTTAAACCCTTCAAAAATTTAGCTGTAATTTGATACTATTATCCCAAACGACATATCGAAATTTCAAAAATTTTCATCATAAAAAATTATCACTACCGAACCTCTTTAAGCTAGAAGGAGAGTATACGATGCAGGGATTAATAACATAGCATGGTTGGCTATAGATCTAAATTGCTATGTGAGCATCATCAGTCGCACGGTGTATAATTGGAGGCTCTGTCTGCACAGAGAAAGTATCTAACATACTTATAACATGACACTTTTTCCTGTTTAGATTAGGAGGGAGCACGATGATTGCCGCTTTAATACTGTATGAGTAATTTTTATATATTTTTGTGGTTGTGAGTTATCTTCTGCCTATGCGCTTATACGTTCTTGAAGGTTTTTCAAGAACCCTTTTCCGTAAAAATGAACAATTCATCAAATCGTGTGTTTAATTGAATTTTAAAATTATTGCACTTTTGCTGAACGTTAATTTATAAATGTTAAAAATTGTTTTTTTTTTAAGCGTTCAAACTACTTGTGTTTCGTATTCGTTGTTTTCTGTTAAATTAGTGTTTGGTTGATTTATGAAAATTATAGTAATGTTCTAATGGGTTATTAATAGAAACTAATTTTTTTCAAGAAAAACTATTACAGCTAATAGTTCTTACAAGTAAAGTTTTTTGCCACTTCTTTTGTTATTTTTGTTACCCATCCTTCCATCTACGTTAAAGAACTTATGTGCTAGTAATATTTGTACTTCGAATCTTTATAATTATGTTTTTTTTTTGTTCACAGTTTTATTGTTTTATTGTTTTTTTTTTTTTTTTAAATGGGAAAAGATCACTCTGATAAGCTTTGGAATGACCGCTATTTAAGCAGAACTAAGTAAACGAATTTCTTTGATGAGTAGATTTAAGGTAGAAGTAGATAGACCACTTTAAATAGCAGACCTGATGTTGAGGTGTATATCTTTATGGATAGTATAAGAGATCACTAATTTTTCTTTGCCTATTATTATTTAATACATAATATTAACTTATTTTTGTGTTTATCGTAATAATTTTTTGTCGATTATTTTAAAGTTTATTTATTGACATATTATTTTTAACACTTTTATTTATTTACTTCTTTTATAAATTAAAACAAAATACTGCATGTACTATGCTCTTCATGCTCTTCGCAAAGCCATAGAATGAGGGCCCTACAATCCGACAGACGGCGTACTGTAGCTAAGAGAAAATCACCTACAAGTATGCAATATATGCACAGTGTTGGGTTAGGCGGATTCAATATCGGAACTTTTTCCCTAGATCCTATATATAGCTATATGATCTAGGGAGAATGTTCCGTCGAGCAGACAGCACAGCAGTGAAGGGGCATTGACAATGACACGCGAAAAATTAAAAATTGTAATATTAATAACACAAGTGCCTATCATCCAATCAGTCTTGCTCGAGCGCTCGTACCGAACGCACGCTTTCTGCGCACGCCCGTTACGCATCGCTCTTACTTAGACTTGAGTTCTCTCTAAACGGCCCTTTTCAGGGCTACCTAATTTACCTATTTCTCTTTCAGTAAACGCGACTTAGTCGCACCGCGCGACTGTGTTTCCGCTAAATTATACACCCGCGTACACGCCGCCCTCAGGGGTGGCCCAATTGGCTAGCCCTTCACTAGGGCACAGCCAAAGAATAAGCACTGAGGATAATCCACAATTCCAAGTCAGTGTGACTAATCGACGCGGTGTTGGAAGAAACAGACTCATCATCTTCCGAGATGTCCGCGCTAAATGGTGCAAGTGTCAGTGCTAGTGCAAGTGACAATAGTGCACAGTTCCCCGCAGAGTCTGACATGACAGTCAGCCGGCCAAAGGACCAACGATCCCTCAAGCTGAAAAGCTGAGACCTCCGCGTCAACCGACACGACTCCCAGCGGGAACGCAGCCCGCTCTCCCGTGTCGATACACTGGCCAAAATTGTAGCCGAACTCGCCGAACTCCGGCAGCGGGACGAGTACCTGGAAAAGATTACGAGTGAGTACTCTATCCAGCTGGAAAAATCCAACCAGAAAATTGCTAAACTTGTCTAATCCAACGAGGAGAAGGACAATACTATCGCTGCTATTTATACAAAGTTCCACCGCGCAGCGGAAACACCCCGGTAAAAGTTCCGGATTTCATCTCCCCGTCACCCGCAAACCGCGACCTACTAAACTTGCTAAATCCTTCCACTTCAGGAACAAAGCAGCCCCCTCCCATGCCCAGCCCTAGGCCAGTGAAAAATGCCTCCAAAAATTCGACCGTCAAGAAACCCGCTGCAAAGAGAAGGCGTACAAAAGAAGTGACCAATGTGTCACTTTCAAACTCCGAACTCTCCGATATGGAGTTTGAAGAGTCTCGCGACTCCCAACCCCCACAAAGCTCCTCCCAAGCAGGGAAAAACGCGTTCGAAGGCCACCTCGAGGACCAAGCTCAACATGACTTAGAAGAAACCAACAGCGCCCCCAAAAAGAAGGCACCTCCACCGATCACAATCCTGGACCAAAAAGTATGGCCCAGGATTAACAAAGCCCTCATAGCAGAGAACATCCCTGTCCGCCGCGCCATCACGACCTCTGAAGGCACTCGCGTGTACCCCGAGAACGTCGACAGCTTTCGACGAATCGTCCACGACCTTGACGAGAAAAAGGTCGAGTTTACCACCCATCAACTTCACGAGGATCGCGAAATGATAGTTGTCATTCGTGGAGTCAACATCGGCTATACGGAAGCAGAAATCCTGGAGATGATCCAGGAAAAAGTACCATCCACCCGTTGGGTCTATCGCATGACCAAGGGTTAACGGACCTGGTCCCTGGTTACCGTATACCTGGATGCGTTGGATGCCAAATCCACCGATATCAATAACCTTAGGTCACTCGGGGGCACTTCTGTCAGAGTGGAACAGAAGCGCAAATCGAGTGATGTACCTTAATGCCGTCGCTGCCAAAAGTTCAACCACACGGCAGCCTACTGCCACGCCGCCTTCGTCTGTGGTTTCTGCAGTTTAAACCACGCTACCGCAACCTATCCAAAAAAGGACAAGGACCAAGTCACCCCTCGCTGCGCTAACTGCCATGGTAAGCACCGCGCCTTCTACCAGGGTTGTCCGAAAATCCCCCAAAGAGGAGTTCACGCTCCTAAGAAAAGCACTACCCCACCTCCCCCCCTTTTGGGAGAGCCACCCCCCGGACAACAGCCCAAGGCTCGAACATCGTTCGCCCGGGGATGTCATACGCAAATGTGACTTCTTCTCAACTACGCCGGACAGGAGCTCCTCCCCCGACTCCTCTGCTCAACACACCCCCGACCACCAAAACAATCCTACACTCAATCATGACCCTGCTGACTCGCCTCGACCAAAAAGTGTCCGGTCTTGAGGGCAACAGAAAAGCAGCACGCTAGACAGAGACTTAACGCTACTCAACTGGAACGCGAACAGCATCACACACAAAACGACTGAACTCACACACATACTCCAGACAAAAGACATCGACATTGCATGCATCACTGAAACACACCTAGACAACACAAAAACACTCTACATACCAAACTACACGGTACACAGACGTGACAGACGTTAAAAATTCCATGGCAGAGTGGCTATCCTTGTACGCAAGGGCATCCGCCATCGAGTCATGAGTACGGACGCTGCCAACTGCGAAGCCGTCGGCATTGAAGTACACGTGTACACCACCTCATCTGCCTCTATCAGGATCATCTCCCTCTATTCTCCTCCAACGGATGATCCAAACCTCCAATGCATAATCCCGCTGTTTGATTCCAACATTTCTACGATAGTTGCTGGTGATTTAAACGCCAAGCACAAATCGTGGGGATGCAAACACGAAAATCCTAAGGATCGTTCCCTCCTCAAACACTTGCGCAACCTCAACATCAATATTGAGGTTCTGAGTGAACCGACTCACTACCCCAGCTCACCAGACCAAGACCCAGACATCTTAGACATATTCCTGACGAAAAACTTGACCATCCCTACGGAACCACGAACATCCCCAGACTTCCCTTGCAATCATAACCCAGTCTACCTAGCGATCCCAAGATCCCTTCTCACCATACCCGTCACTACCAGCCGCATAGACTGGGTCCACCTTGCGTACAACCTCGAATCCTCCCCATTTAAATGTCGTCCCATCAGATCCCAAACGGAACTCAACATAGCAGTAGACGAATTCACTGACGAACTCAACAAATGCACACACGAAGCCACCACAACAACCACGGCTCCCTAACACACACTTAAACTCCCTCGCGACCTCCTGCGTCTCATCAAGGAGAAGAAAAGAGTCCAGAAACTCTGGCAAAAAAGAAGAACCCCCGAACTTAAAGTTCATCTTAACTCCCTTGAAAGGGAAGTCAAATCCAAAGTCTTTGAATTCCGAAACAAGGAATTTAACAAATTCATAGCCGAAGCAGAGTCCCACCCAAGAAATGCTTGGAAGGTTGTTAAAAAACTTCGTAACAAACGGCCTTCCCTCCCCCCCCCCCTTTAACAAGGGAACAAACTCTACTTGCTAGATTCGGACAAAGCAGAGATCTTTGCAGATTCGCTGCAAAATCAATGCTCCCCCAACCTTAGCGCTGAAGAACTAGCGAAGGTGAAGGAACAAGCGAATATCACCCACACGGTGCAGCAAAAGGTCCTTGACAATCCAGATTTCGAACACTGCACACCCTTCGAAATCAGAGGCATCATCCGCTCCCTAAAAACTCGAAAAGCCCCTGGCAGTGACGGTATCTCCAATAGCGTCCTGAAAATTCTCCCTCAAAAATTCATCACGGCGGTTTGCAACATCACCAACGCCGTGATACGCCCTCGTTATTTCCCGATTGCGTTGAAGGTGGCTACAGTTATCGGCCTCCCGAAGCCGGGAAAACCCCTCAGCAACCCCGCGAGCCACAGACCCATTAGCCTACTCTCATCGCCCTGTAAAATCACTGAAAGCGTCATTCTCACCCGCCTAAACAAGCACGCCACGGATAATAACATCCTTCCAGACGTGCAGTACGGTTTAAGTGCCAGACATTCGGCAGTTCACTAGCTTCTAAAAGTCACCGAAGACCTCTCCGATAGCCTCATCCACAAAAACTTTACTGCGGTAGCTTTTCTAGATGTACAGCAGGCCTTCGACAGAGTTTGGCACGAGGGCCTCCTGTACAAGCTTATACAGTTAGGTTTTTCACACTACCTCATAGGCACCGTCAAATCTTACCTCTCGGACAGATTTATCCGCGTTAAAGTAGGCGACTCCCTCTCTGACCCCCGTCCAATAACCTCTGGAGTCCCCCAAGGCTCCAAACTTTCACCCACCCTTTTCAACATATTTTACCACGACCTGCCCCAGCACGAAAACATCAACACGTACGTCTATGCAGACGACGTCGCGGTCAGCTGCACGTCAAAACAACACTCTCGGTGCACTCCTGTCTGAACGAGTACACCGTCACTCTCCATAACTGGTATAGTCTTTGGAAACTGGTCGTAAACGAGGCAAAGACTATAGCCATGCTCGTCTCTTGGAAAAATCCAAGGAAGAAACTGCAGAAGATGAAGGTCAACGGAGTAGAAATCGACTGGAGCTACTCTGCTAAGTACCTTGGCGTAACGCTAGACCGCCGACTCACGTACGTTCGGCACATCAACAACACCCGCGGCAATGCATACGGAGCCTTCGTGCAGCTAAAGCCCTTCTTCAACAACAAAGCCGTCTCCCAGAAGACCAAGCTGCCCTCAACGCCATCATCAAGAGCATTAGCACCTACGCGATACCAACGTGGGGCGCTGCAAAGGGAAACCGACTACAGGGCATCCAGGGCTCTTTCATGAAGATACTGAGGTCGGTCCTGGATATTCCGTTATCAAGGAGTTTAACATCGTCCCTCCAATACAAGCAGCCCCCGTCCTTGCGTCTAATT